CCCTATATCTTTTTTTTCTATATTTTTTCTATATTTTTTCTATATTTTGAACTGTTTTATCTATTTGTTTTTATTGCGTTTAATATAGCACTTTTTACCACGAACTCAACAAGAGATCGAAGCTTCCTCATGTCGCCCAATCGCGAGGACTCTATACCTAAGCCTGCACACCCTGTGCCATACCTTTCTAAAAAATCATCTATAATCCTCCAGGCAGTTATTTGCCATGTCATAACGCCATATTCGCCATACTGTCTATATACACGCCAAAATTCGAGGCACAATACCGATAACAAAGGAAATATCCGTTGAGCTCGCCCGAGTTGGTTGAGGAGTTTCTTTCTGGACCTCATTGTCCTGGCGAGCATGTTTTCCATCTTACAAGTTCTGACGAAGATGAGACTTAGTCTCCAAAGACGGTAGTGTCGTCTTGGTCCATCTGGTCCATTTCCTTGGTAAACTCGGGGGTTTCCTTGAAAGCATATCCGGGGTGGCCAGCATTCAGAAGAAGAACAGCAATGCACATCATGCTAAGAACAGTCAGTGAGTTGTTACTATAAATGTGATAGGCTTCAAGGGCTCTTACCAAGATTCAAGAGCGATGTAGAGACCTTCGTCTCGAAAGATAGCACTGAAGTATCCTCCATTGAGCTCAGCAATTCGGTAGCCACATCGAATCAAGATGAAGATAGTCGAAAGGAAAAGGAAAAAGAGGAAGGTGAGAATGGGCTTGGTAAGGCGATATCGGGCCGGTGACTTGGAAGCCCTGATAACGTAGTCGATGAACAATCCAACGAAACAAAGTAGAGTGACGACTTGGAAGACAAGACCAGCGATGGAGATGTCCTCTCCAGTCTTGACGTCGTCTTTCGCTGTGGAAACGACTGAGACTGCACCGCCGACGGCTTGGAGGATGAGGGAGATAATGTCGGAAGGGATGAAGATCCAGTAGAAATACTTGGGAGAGAATCGAGAGACATTTGGATCGACGAAGTTGATGCTGAGAGTGTCAGTTGTGCTTCTTCTGAGTGAACTGAGGGAACTTACACCTGGGACAGAAGAACATAGATGGCAGCAGAGAAGAAAACGGGGGCAATGGTGATCATGACTGAGCCAGAGTTAGTCAAGTTCTCCCTTTCCATCCATTCCTTGTTCGAGTTTGGTTTAGAAACACTTACTGATCTGCAATAGAAAGCCAATAAAGTCAAATGGATTATCGTGGATGATAAGCCGTCCGACGTAACCGATAATCTCGAGAATACATCCTGCCATCATACTCGCCATGAAGCCCCATGTCTTCATCTTGATACCTTGGAAGATATGAAGAGCCATAGACAATCCGAATACTCCAATGAAGATGGCATTAGCGGGAACGCTTGGTTGGTATCGCAGTATACTCGACTCGAGGGGACATAATTCGAGTGTACAGTTGGCATCGGAGCCGAATGAGATAAGCCCGCCGGGTAATGGTGTATCGCTCATGTTTGCGATCTTCACCACGTCGTCGAGTTAGAGTTGACAAACTTTTCGGTAGGGCTGGATATGCAGGAACTGATCAGAGCTCGCACTCGTTTACTGTTGGATGGTTGTTATGATGTGATGGATTGGATATCTGGGGAAGACAGCAGATTCACGTCTTTATAAAGGGGCAGGTTTCAAGATATCAGATCTCGGCACCCGTCGGAACAAATACCCAAGATCTGACTCCGCGGGCATAACGACCCAACTACGTCAACTCGCACCACTGATCCTGAATTCCCATACTATTTCAGCTGGAGTGGAGCAAAAAAGTCGATTGTACACTTCAGGATCAGGTGGGTCCGGGTGCGCCGTCCACCCGGGGCTCCGGCCGATCGGGCGCCCGCGGGAGGCGGACGGGCAAAATGGACATGAAACATGAGGCTGAGTTTTATAGAGTTCTATAATTCGCATTGATACGAGGGATCTTGATAAGCTATTTCTAGATTTAATGAGATTCCACGTCAGCATAGCATGGTTCGCGCGAGTGTTGTTGAGTTAGAGTTTGCTGTGGACTGTTCATAGGGATAGAGAACGTGGCTGGCCAGCCAGAAGCCATTGGATATGCAAAGACGTATCGTGAGATTCGTTACCCTTACACCATATCTAGTGGTTCCAGCATGATTATCTCGGCCGTAACGGACATCTACCTTGTCCGTACCTTGCATGATCTAGCTCGGCAGTGGTGGCCGGATATACATCCCATGGTGATGATGGCTGCATCGTGACAGGACACTAAGGGTCTAAGGCGATGTTGATCTTATCTTAGATTCGTTTCGGTACAAATATTGTTGTATTCGTACTCAGCCCTGGAGCATTGTCCTCACTGTAAGTCTATGCTTAAATTCTGGATATTCGCAGCCAGGTTGATCCAAGCTGCAGAGATATGTAGGGTAGGTTTGACAACTATCATGGATACTTTACAGGTCAAATCGGATCAAAAAATGACAATTCCACCAGTGGTCTGTTTGTGCTTCACCATGGTAAGTAGAGATCAAATAAGAAAATTATCGTGTCAAGTAATGAGGCTCAACATTTCCTTAGATATTCGGTGGTATCGGTGCCGACTTGGAGTTGCAGTTTGGTCTCAGCCAAGCCGGAGCACGAGGCTTGGCCCGCGCCTCCGACCGGGCCCGAGTCATGCCGACTCCGTTGTCAACTGCGACATCAAAACCTTGTTAGCGATCCTTCAATTTGAAACTATTTATAACGTGGTCCATATCCTATCGCTTCAGATTCAGATAAGTAAGCCATATCGATATCCTATCACTGATAAGATATTCTCTTGTTTCTTTCTTTTCCCGTTTTATGGATCAAGTATTGCATATTCTTCTTGCCAAGATCTTGGTTGAGTAAGCATCCTATTACCACGCGTATCATGCGTTTTCACCAGGCGACAGTTGCGGCCATAGATCTTGTTTATGTGTCCTCTGCAGATAAATTGCTGCAGTTGCTTTCGAAATGGTTGATGCCTAGATGCTCTGTCCACGAATATGTAAACACTTGTCTTCAAGATACAGAACTCGCATCCGAGACACGTGTACCAACTCCGCAGTTGAAAGAGTCAGGACCCTCAAAGAAACCGTGTTCAGTTTAAGAATCAGAATAAAAGTCGTCATTGTGCCCAACAAAAGACACTTGCCTCTATCACGAGGGTCAAGTCTGCATTCAGGTGATCAGCTCTTTTGACTCGAGACATATTTCTCCATTCGTAGCACCTACTTTCAGTGGGTCACTCACTAAGCCATCACCGTCACGCGAAAAAAGTGCCCGGCCCCCGCTCGCGGGAGTTTCGGCGCCCACTTCACCCCTTAGGTCCATTTTCAGCTCAGCCCAGCTTCAACCACTAAACGTTACCTATCTTCAAACTTATTCTATTACACCTACAGGAAACCTTTTTTCTTCTCTTCCTCACACCTCTCGGAGACAATTACCCTCTTCTCCGTTGGTCAAACCCTCGCTCACATTCAGCTTTAACTGTCGAGTCACGCACGAGGTTTCACCTCGGATTGCAGTCATGTTTGACCTTTTCCCTATGCTCTTATCGTAAGCTTCAGCCCTATACATCTTCGTCATGAGGCGTCATATTCGCAATTGCGATGATAGCCACCTCAATCAGCCCTCAACGCCAATGGATCTGATTTACTGACTATTCCCTTGTTCTCAATAGTTCTGTCGCATGTTATCTGTTTCCTATCTTTGCATCTTACAAAGCGCTCAAGACACATGATCCCACCCAGCTGACGCCATGGCTGATGTACTGGGTCGTGCTCAGTTGCTGTCTTCTCGCCGAGTCTTGGGTTTGGTTTATTGTCTCATGGTATGTCTAAACCTCATACCTGACACCTTCTGTACTGACACTAGCAGGATTCCGCTTTACGGTTATTTCCGTTTACTATTCCTCCTCTACCTTATCCTCCCACAGACACAAGGCGCTCGACGTCTATACGAGGAATATGTCCATCCTTATCTTGAAAAGAACGAGACGCAGATTGACGACTTCATCGCAAGCGCACATGAGCGCTTGACTGCTGCCGGAATATCTTACCTCAAGCTCGCTATTGAGCAGTTCAAGGTCAAGGTCCTTGGTCTTCCACCATCCGAACCCGAGTCGCCTCCTCCCGAGCCTGCGCAAGGCTATACACAGTCGCTTCTGTCACGATTCAACGTCCCTGCTGCACGATGGGCTGGTAACAACAGCAGCGGCACCGACTTTTACAGCCTGCTCTCCAGCGCTGTGGCAGCTGCTACCAACGCAGGTGGACAGTCGGCTGGTACGAGAACAGTTGGAGGTGAGGCCACAAACTCGGGCGCATTGATCCCACCGCATCTTCGCGAGTCTGGTGCCAGAATGGACTTCATCTCGGCTCAGCGCGATCGCTTAAATGTCCTGATCTCGGCACTTGATCGGGAGGCCCAGGATCTTCGTACCGAAGCCCAGCGTGCCCAGACAAGCACAGGCTCTCGCCGCGATCCCATGGCCTACGGAGGTTATGATAATAACGAGGAAGATGAACCTACCCAGCGACCACCTAGTGGACTTAGCGCATGGAGTGGTATTAGCAAGAGCCGCAGCGAGACCGATTTCGAGAGGATCGACGCGGAGACTAGTTCGGACGAAGACCATCGTCAGGTGCGCCGAAGAAACCAGGGAGCTGGCACTAGAAATGCATCAGGCTCATGGGTTCCTTGGGGATGGGGCGGTGATGCCGCATCAGGAGGCGGAGCGAGCGCCTCCGGAAGGGAAAGATAGAAACTCCATTCTGGGAGGTGGGTTTTGAATGATCATGGGTCTTACTAAGGTAGATATGGTGTTTTTTGACATGGGCCCGTTGATATTCGGCGCGATAACTGCCCCAGTACATATCTATAAATGGGAATTGGTGTACATGAGCTCGTTCTTCTTTTAAGATGACCCTAGATATTGGTCTGATGATTCATGATCCATTCATTTTCCTCTGAAGTACTACAGTATCGCTCCATGCGCCAAAGCCATGCGTCTAATCCATCCATATCATACATTGAAATATTCACCCCGAGATTCTATACAAATGTAGTGCAAGGAAGACATGACAGTGTCTAACAAAACTTGTAAGGGTATGTTGCCTCGGCGACACCCTTCTTGAAAAAGAAAGTCCTCTTCTTCTTAGTGATCGCGTGCTCGACCCATTTTTCCTCTATAAAATGCTTTCTGAACCAGCGGATGTACACAGGATCCCAGAGTTCAGAGGCGATACCGAGATCCTTGCAGCAACGCATCAGGGCGTTGGATTTGGCACCCTCAATGGCGGCGGGGATAGATTCGGGGCTGAAGTAGTTGTTGTAGCCCTGCGATTGGGAGACCATTCTGTTCTTGTTAGTCAATGATGATATTGGAAATTGGTTTACTAACCGGCCGTTCACGATGAGAGCGTATTCACGCGTCACGATCTGGTTACCGACAACAACATCCCCACGATGGACCATTCCCCAAGCCATCGGTCCAAACGCCTCATTCAGCCGTCGTCGGTACTTGACCTCTGGCAAGTAGATGATACCATCGGGCTTGACCTCCACATCTGCAGCATCAACTGGTCTTGCGAGAATCTCATTCTGCTCAGGAGTAACAGCCTTCACACCAAGGCCATACCAGCTCGTCTCCCAATTGATGTGCTCTGTGTTCTCCGTGTCCGTCTCGCTAGTCTCGCTCAGAATGCTCTTCGACACTGCAACAGGCTTGTGTGGACTCTCCAGCTTAGGACTCTTGCTGCTCGCCGTGGGCTTTGCGGAAAATGTCTTGGGCGCATATGTAGACTTTGCAGGTGCAGGTGTAGATTTTACAGGTGTTGACTTCGCGGGCGCAGTTGTAGGTGCAGGTTTAGCTCTGGGAGTGTATTTCGGCTTTGTGACAACGTCTTCTTGCTTCACTTGTGTAACATCTTCATCAGGCTTTTGCAGCGTCACGTCTGATGCTTCGGTAGCGTATCGTGCAATTGGACGAAAGGAGGTGGGGAGTCTTCGGGCGGCGAAGAGGGCGCGACGAGGGACGAACATTGTGGGTTGCTATGGGGAGTTGGATATGGTGAGCCTCAAGCTTGATGAAGCTGTGGTGATAATTTCATGGGCGGGTGGATAGATTGTCCGGTGGGGACAGTGCTAACACTGTGTATATCATATCATGATGCCTTGATTGAGTGAACGCATTTGGAAGTCATAGTTTCCTAATCGACTGGAAAGGAGAGCCTGGTCTTGGTATATTACATTTTATACAGTAATAGTACAGTATTATGCGGTTACATGTCCCCGAATGCGACTTCAATTGTCCTTGGTCTCTGTGCGTTGGTCGTTGTTATGAGCCTTCCAGCACTGTTTGAATTGCTCCATCTATGATACTGTCAGCTCAGGTCTATGACAACATAAAAAGCAATGTGATAAGGCATCTCGAAATAAATGAAACAATAGGGTTGGATTGTATTGGATTTTTGATACTCACTTCTGCAGCACATGCGCGCCAATCCTTCTTTTCAAAGTAGCAATCCGTCATTTTTGCGTTCTCATCTGAGTTGGTGATGTCTGTTAGCAAGCTTTTTTCTCAACAAACCGATTGATGAGCGGGTAGTTGAGGCGTAGACTTATAGAACCTTATAGAGGTCCTATATCTTCCTTTGTATTTCGCCATTGGGTTTTGTAAGAAAGAAGAGACTCACCCGCGCATCCAGTGCTAAAGATCCGCTTGTCCCTTCATCAGCGGTTAGCAAAGGCCTCGGCTTTCGGTGTCTCAACGGAAAAGAGCGCTCACTCACCATTCATCAGGCTCATCGTCGTCTTCTTGTGTGCTCTGCTGAGCGTTACTCTCTTCTTTTGTCATAATTTCGGTTGATCTCTTGTCGAAAATTGTGGTGATTGAGTCTTGTGTGTTATCGTTGAAAAAGGTTAAAGGTGGTTCGAGGCGGACATTTGGCTGAGGCGAGATCCAACAAAAGTCAAGTGACAAGACTACACGTACAACTTTGATATCACCAGAACCAGCCAAATACGAACAATGGCACCAGCAAAGCTCAACGTTCTTGTTTACACAGGTTTGATCCATCAACTCCCTTCACTGGCTGTTACACTCACTGATTCACTACCAAGGCATTGGCACCACGGTTGAGTCAGTGCGGCATTGTATCTGGTCCCTCCGCCGTCTTCTCGGCCCCAACTACGCCGTCATCCCCATCACCGAGAACATCGTTCTCAAAGAACCATGGCAAGCAACATGCGCACTCCTCGTCTTCCCAGGTGGTGGCGATCTCGGCTACTGCCAGGCATTGAATGGTGAGGGAAATCGTCGTATCGGCGACTATGTCCGCCGAGGAGGCTCTTATCTAGGCTTCTGTGCTGGTGGCTACTACGGGACACAGAAGTGTGAGTTTGAAGTGGGAAACAAGCCCATGGAGGTTGTTGGACGAAGAGAGCTAGGGTTCTTCCCAGGGACCTGTCGAGGTGGTGCGTTCAAAGGCTTTGAGTATCGGAGTGAAAGGGGAGCGAGGGCTGTGCGTTTGACGGTACCCAAGGGTGCCTTTGAACAGGAGGTTGCGTCTGAAATCATCTCTTACTATAACGGAGGAGGTGTCTTTGTTGATGCTGCTTCGGTTAAGGATAGAAAGGTCGAGGTTCTCGCTACTTACGACGAGGAGCTTGATGTCGATGGTGGTGATGGAAAAGCAGCAGTTGTTCTTTGCACAGTCGGAGATGGCAAAGCTTTGCTTACTGGCCCTCACCCCGAGTACGTTTCAATCTGTTCACCGTATACATGTACTGACTGATACACTTTAGGTTCGCTGCGGCCAACTTGAATCCTCAGCCAAGCGTTCCTGGGTACGATGACCTGGTCACCAAACTAGGAGGCGCCGACAAGGACCGAGCTGCTTTTCTCAAGGCATGCCTCACAAAGCTCGGTCTTGAGGTCAGCCCCCACGATACAGGTGTTCCATCGCTCTCCCATCTTCACCTCTCCTCCATCACCGACACAGGCGTATCAGAGCTATTGACTGACTGGAGCGGCATCATCGAGAAGGAGAACGGCGAAGAATGGATTCGAGCGGAAACAGATACCTTTCACATCCAGAATGAAGATACAATCTGGAGTCTCGAAGGGCTTCAGCAATCCCTGACAGAGACAACGGATTCCAACATCTCTGAAAATGGCAGCATTGACTACAGCAAGATCATCAAGAAGATCTTTCCTCACGAGAAGGGTCTTCCTCACCCCAAGCTTACACCACATTTCAACCATGGTCTGTTCTTTTCGAGCCTGAAGCGTTATCGACAAATTGAGCCAACTGCCCGGGCATGGGGCGACTTGCTCATGTACGGCGAAGTGGTCACAAGTACAAATACCATGCTTGAGAAGTATTTCCCCCTTTCCAAGCAGGAGGCGTACCATACTGACATGTACCAGGAACCCTAAGCTCATGCCAAAGCTCCCAAGTGGCTTCACCGTCTCAGCTACGACCCAAGTTGCCGGTCGTGGTCGTGGCTCCAACGTGTGGATTGCTCCTCCTGGAATGCTCATCTTCTCGACTGTTATCAACCACCCAGCCCACTTAGCTGTGAGTCGCCCTGTGGTGTTTATTCAATATATCACGGCTATTGCTATGGTTGAGGCTGTGCAGTCTTATGACCGTAGCTACGAGGACATTCCCATCAAGTTGAAGTGGCCCAACGACATTTGTAAGTCAATTCAGCTCCCTTGCAAGAGCAAGTCTGACATCGCTAGATGCCCTTGATCCCACAAAGTCACAAGAGAAACCGCACTATGTGAAAGTCGGCGGTATTCTCTCACAGTGTCTCTATTTCGACGGCAACTACCAAATCATCCTCGGTGTAGGCCTCAATACCATCAACCCCCGTCCCACAATCTCCATATCCGACCTCGTTCCCTCAGGGGCATCAGAACTTCATCTCGAAACCCTCCTAGCCCGCGTTCTCACACGCATAGAAGCCATCTACGCCCAGTTTCTTCGAGAAGGGTTCTCAGCTGATCTTGAAGCCCGTTACTACCGCCACTGGTTACATACAAGACAAGATGTCACTCTCGAGGCAGAAGGTGGTGTCAAGGCTCGTGTGATGGGAATTACGCGGGATTGGGGAATGTTGAAGGTTGAAGAGATGGATGCTAGTGGGAGGTCGACAGGGAAGATCTGGGCATTGCAGAGTGATGAAAATAGCTTCGATTACTGGAAGGGCCTGGTCAGGAGGAAGGTGTGAGAATAAATATGTGTCGAAGCGCGGGAAGTAGGCAGATATGCGGTAATCAACGCTACTTATGAATTATCATTATATACTTACTTTTCAATTAGATCATGCCATATTCGATATGCCAATAATCGAGAATCGAGTCGCAAAGGTATCCTTCTGAAGACTGTTTCACTTCTATGGAAGTGTAGATGGTGACCCAAATCCTATGGGACTGACATCTTGGATGATCGTCTTGACTTTGGAATGGCAGAAGCTCTTACGGACGGTTGAAGTTTCTCCTCTGTTTCCGTCACAGTAGGTACATTTCTACTGGCAGAGGTCAAGGACGGTGCGGAGCGCTTGGTAGCATAATTGGACCCCTTGTAAGGGTGACGCCCAGAAGAATGGGCTGGGAGAGCATCAAATGCACATCGAGGGCCCAAGAAATATCTCATGGATTACGCGTCGATTCAGCGAGAAGAATCATGAGCGCGAGAAGTACCTGGATTATTCATCTATGTCATCAGCTCTTATTTATCTGAGTGATGTTGTCATCCCCAACAGTTGATGTCGCTCAGCAACGAAGCATTTTCCAGATCATCTTTATATATGACTTGCCCTTGCTGACTGAATGATCCTTGCGTTTCTTTTTGTGCTGGCATAATTAACCAGAGCTGGGGTTATGCTCTGGGTGTATGGGCCTCTTCATTCTGTTACTCACAACCCTGCCAGGCTCAGCATCTAACCACAGATAATGCTGCAGCTAGTCAATGTCGACTTGTTTCCCAATCCTACCGTCGTTAAAACTATTTAATCCTCTGGGGGGACTGCTCTGCAATGTGACATTCTTGACCGCTCGTCCCCTCGCCAGCATCACCCTCCGCGGGCAGGCACAAATCCATCTTTCAAACACACAATGTGCTTCGTATTCACCGATCCTGACCTCATGTAAGTTTACAAGACACCTAGGCTAGTGCACAAGGCTTTGACTCAGTTTCTCAACAGCATTGATGAACCCGAATTGCAATCTGCCAACCTCAACATGGACAAAAAAGGGGACACGCTGTCCGAGAACGAGGCCTCACTGGTCCTCCAGAGACATGAGCCTCGTGATTTTAAAGACCTGACAGGTCATACTTTCAGTACAATACCTCTAGATTTCAAGCCAGTACTTACCATACCATGGACGGAGCGTCCTGACCAAGGCGTCTCGAATCTTGCTGCGGACTTGACTATCATTGAGAAGTTCACCACAGCCACTCAGTCAGAACAACCGATTACGACTAGTATTCCACGAAGGCTCACCCCGGGTACTGAGATAGAGATAGTCACCATTATTGATGGAACGAAGTTCATCGCCCCGAGCAGCACGTCAGACGCAACGACCACCAGTCAGCAGTCAGAAATCACTTCACCTAAGGAGACGACTACTGATGTGCCCAGCTTAAGCACCGAGAAACCTCTACTCGCTTCATCCCCTAACAAATCGGGTGAAGAAAGTTCTTGGACTACATCATACACAACCTCTTCAAGCACAGAACTTCGACCATCCTCTCCCGCGAATCCCTCTGGAGCACCTATTCGCTCAGATACCTCCGCAATGGTCGCAGGAGCAGTATTCGGAGGTTTAATTATCACCACTCTTGTGATAATCCTCTTTTATGAGTTATGGCGACGATTTGAGACTCCAAAACTGCGACATGAACCACGGCATGGGCCGCATTATGAACCACGACATCAACCGCATTATGAACCGCAACACCAACCGCATCATGAACCACAACACCAACTGCATTATGAACTGCGACATGGACCACGATATGAGCCATCAACTAATATAACTTTGAATTTCCCTCAGAACCATGTCGAGGTACAGCCCCAACAACCGGTTCCGGACTATGGGTGGAAAGCTTGAAAATCTTAACGACTCAAGGTGACATTGATTTACAAGGATATGATTGAACAAGGATGCAGGGCCTTTCTATAGTTTTTTTTAGTTGCACAAAATACCATTGCCTTCTCTGAGTCGATACATTATGCAGCTTGATCACAGTCGGGTCTATCTGCTCTCGTCTAATAACTCACAATGACCGCAATGCATCTTTAAAAATAGATTGGAATACCTTGAATCAGCTCAGTGTGCTACTTATATATAGCCCTCGAAGACCCATCGCGTTGTGTTCGATCTTCTCTCAAACCTCCACAAGCATTTACCCAACTCCCTTGTCATCCCATCAAAAGACCTTGTTTCCCTTCTATCATCGGCAATATCAACATACATTAGATCATGGAGAAGCAGGAGTCCCCAACCTCTCGTGGGACCGATCTCTCGTCCAAAAACCACCATAATGACTGTCGCGAGCTTGTGGACTTGACTGGAAGTGTCTACAGCACAATTCCGTCTGGCTTCAAGCCAGTTCTTACATTCGCATCAGAAGACCTCCCAGGAAAAGATAGAGAGGATGTAACAGTCATCGACAAGGTAGATGGCACTTCCACCAAAAATGGCGTGGTAGTCATAGGTACCGAGACTTGGGAACCTTTCACTTGGTATACAAGACATAAGCACCAAACATTCACTCTTGTCTTGCGTCCTACGGAGACCACGAGCAGTGATGTTGATATACTCAGCATCATCAGCCATTTGACGCTGCCAGATGCAACTCCGACAATCTCAAGCGAGGAGTTGACTTCAAGTTCGTCAACTTCGGAGAGTTTGGTGATTCCAACTGCTGCGGAACCTTCCAACGGCTCTCTATCTGCAGGCGGATGGATATTTGTATTAGTTGCGGCCGTGTTTTTGCTTTTCCTATCCATCATGGCCACTATGTTTATAATACTCCGTTCACGTTCCAGGCACAATCAGGACAATTTCAACATCCAGCTCGACAATGCTCCCTTTGAGCATACTTACATGGAGCCTGCGCAGCCTGTACAGCCAGCGCCAGCGATTTGGAAGTCATGAATGATTGTGCGGCATGGGGATAATTCTGGTTGTACGTCAGGTTAACACAGATGCAGAGTCTCATGATGGCACTTGTTAGTTACACAAATAGCATTTATGTTTCACTGAATCAATCACTCTTGATGAGTCTATTCACTATTATATAAGTTTCATCACTCAACAACCCACAACAAGTGAATAATCTCTGATCTAGACACCGGCTTACCTTGAATCAGCCCAGCATGGTGACTATATACTGGGTCCTTGGAAGCGTTCTCTCGAGAGCGATCTCGACAAACAGCAGAATTTACAAACAGGGATTTTCTCTTCCTACAGGGCTTCAAATGACTGCTCAAGATGCATGTTCCCTTTCCTGACTTCAAGTACATGTAAGTACAACTCAACCTCTGGATTCGCTCGACCCCTGACATTATGGTAGCGACGAGGCTCAAAGCCAGTCTCCTGGCCTGGAAACGACCGAGAATGAGGAATTTGAACGCGAAGAGACATCGTATTTCCATAACGAGCCTCGTATCTTCATTGATTCGTTGGGCCATACTTATAGCGATATGAAATCCAACCAAGAACCGTATTCCACTTACGCGAAGGTTATTACAATCCCACACAAAAAGGTCCAAGAACCGGTGACCTTCACCTCAAGACACACAATAACCCTTACCTCGATGGCAACTCTAACTTCGTTTACCACTATATTCGAAACAAAGCACTTAGGTCCCGTCGATCCATTGCCCAAGGTCACTTCTAAGATCACTACCCATATTACAATAACAGCTGTCAGAGACCATTCGACGAGTTCTACCTGGACTAGTCGGCCAACCATAGACGTTAACCCTTCATCCCCTCCTAGCGTTGATGAGAGCACTGATCCATCACTTTGGAGTACTGTTACCATAAGTGACAGGATACCATCCAACTCAACTTTGGCTACATCGTATACCGCTAGCCAAGAAGAACCAGATCTACCAACAGGTACAGAAGCTTCTTCTTCGAACGGCTCTTTGACAACAGCTGAGGTAGTGGGTGTCGCTGTCGGTGTGTGCTTCATACTTGTCGCAATATGTTTATCAACCTATTTTTGGTTAAGAAGTCGTCGACACCGAAAAGACACCAGTCCCCGTACTTGTGTACCCCGCGGCGTTGAAACTTCACGATCAAACCCAACTCCATCAAACTGGCCATATGGTCAAGAGCTCAAAACTATATTAGTCCCCCATCGCTCTACTAAGGCAAACAGACTTCTAACTACCGATGCACGTCATATGTCTTTTGATATCGATAAAGACGGTTATAATAGGGGTCTTAAATACTATAAAGGCGAAGCATTTAGTTGGAGAAATCCTGACGGTTACAATACAGATCTCGACCAAGATCCTGAATCGAAGGGCAAGGAGCGTGCAGAATAGCAAAGTTTGATATGAGAACTTATTTCTCAAAGCTTGATTTCTCTTCACTTATGAGAGGTTCTCGTTAAATCTCCTCATATAACTCAGACGTAAGGTGTTCCCCAAAACCTTGGCAACGTGTCTGAATGAAAGGCATGTGATACTGTGACAAACGCTAGAATCTGCAGCAAACAACTGTCGTAGAGTTTCGTTAACAACCATGAGAGGATTCACGCACAAACTTTATCATTGGATGTATATATAGAAGTCAAGAATTACAAGATATAAAATGGAACTTGAGACGCAAAACATCTGGACATTACCTTCGTCTCATCCGTTCCGCCCTTTCTGGTCCTTTTGCCCCCAGACCATTATGTTTGCTACAGTCATCTGAAGACTCGACCTGAATAAGCCAAACTTACAGTATCTAAAGATTTTTGGTTATTTTAAACATTTTGCAAGATGTTGCTTCTCAAGCTTTCCCTCCTGACAGCTATGGCAATACCCGTAGCTGCCCTTCATTGCCAAAATGAAGTCACAGACGTGACGGGAGACCGCAACTGGGTGTTGGCAGGTTGGTAAGTCACATATACTTCATCTCTCAAGACTATACTGATATCTTCTTTCTGTATAGTGGCCCTTGTCGCAAGTATGTAGGCAACAATAGGTACTCTTTCGAAACTCACCTTGAAATGCCTAATGACGACGCCGACGACTTCAAGTATAATGAAGACAACGATGAAACCTACAAAAGTCTCTGCGAAGTGTGCCGCAGTAATTATGGCCCCAAACAGCCAGGCCGCGGTGACTATGGCCCTAAACAGCCAGAAAAGGTCATAACCAGCTCGATCATGGTGCTTAAACTGCCCAAGGAGACACCAAGCATCACAAGTATCAGAATAACACAGACGAAGCCTCGCGTCGGATGGTCAACTCTTCCAGGTCCCGACGATGGCACTACCTTTGCTTGGTTTACGAAAACAACAACGCATACCAAGACTGAGACTGAAACCACGACCACAACGGCATCTACTACTATAAGTCTAAGGAAGAGTGCAGCAACATCGATGGGCTTGAGTGAGACTTCAGCAATATTGGACCCAGAAGAGACTGACACTCCAACGCCACAAAAGAAAAAACGCTCTTCTACCTTTCAAACAGTCGGTATCGTGATAGCGGTTATATTTTTCATCCTATTTACCGGTCTAGTCGCTTGGAAATGCCTTCAACACCGCCGTCAGGCTCAGCCTGATCAGGGCCCTGAGGACCCAATAGGTGATGCTAGTGTCGCTGGAGGCAGCGCCTTCGACGATTCAGACTCAGAGTCCGATGGGGGCCAGGCCAGAAATTTGATAGCCTCCATCAGGGATTGGTTCAGAAGGCACCAGTCTCCATTTCCTCCACCAAACGAGCCTGAAGAACCGGCTCCTGATGTTGTCGAGGAACGTGTACCCGATCCGGGTCCTCCTCCTCCTATTCCTGTGCAACCAGGTCAAGCTCCCGCTGATGTAGAACATTCATACATCCCACGTACTCCTCCCGCTATTCCTGGACATCAAGTCGGGGCCCCTTCAGTTCAAGTGCCAACTCCTGATCCAGCTCAAGATCGGAGTAACTCGAGTACCTACAGCCAGGACAGCGGATATCCAAAGTCGCTCGAAATACCCAGGCCACTCTCCATACACAGATCCCATCGTAGACAGGAAGAACCTAAGCCGCTTCAAGAATGGAGGACAACTGGAGAGCCCGTGCAAACCGGAAATTATGGCTGGGTTTAATCTTGGGATTGCGCCTTGGATGGAACGGAATAAACGGTAGTTTTGGTTACATGTATATAGTTTTATCAGCGTGTTCACATCTCGTGGGAAAGTTTGTGGTTTGATCTTCCAATACCATTGCTCCTTTTCATGACTCCTTTTCATGATTTAGTCTGTTATTACACCACGTGTAACACCCAGAGGCGGCTGATAAGCCTAGAAGAATCTGGCAGTGTGAATAGCTTTGTGTCTATAATAGATCAGTACCCAATGAGGTGTGTTTGTCTCAGGGACACTAGAATACCATCCCAGCCACATCACATTGTGGTCGACGATACATTTGATGCTGAAATATACGCCCTCATCTCACGACAACTCATGACCTCATTTTTACTCACATCTAACCCAAAAGTACTCCGTTCATATCGTACAGTTGTATTAAACATAAGATAGCATAGGTCGTCTGTCTCTTTTTTCTTTCGTCTAAGAACCAGCCAACCTCGAGCGGCTCATCACGCCACCGATAACCCAATAAACGCCGTGCCATGCCGCAGTCGAGTGAAGATGTACATTGTATACATGGAGAAAGTAAACTCCTCCCTCCCGTCCCTCAGAACTCCTTTACGAGGCCATCGTACAAGTGTTGCTTTTTCCAGTTTTATTTGCACAAGGAGAGTCGTCAGTCCTTGTAGACCTTGGGCTTGAAACCCTCTTTGATTTCAGCCTCTTGCTCCATCTTCTCCCGTATAGGACCGATCTCTCGCTCGAATCGCTCCTTTGCTCTTACGATCTTGCTCTGAAGATAGAAACTGCCACCCTTTTGAGGATCGTTGGCGTCAAACAGTCGCTTATAACGTGACAGAACCTCTTCGACATTGGCTTGTCCACCAGCCGGGGGCTTGACGTTGAGAATCTTGCATGCCTCATCGAGAGTCATGCCAGAGGAGAGAGAGGCACCGGCGGATGGGTTGCCAGCCTTGGCCTGCGCTCGCTGGTACGCTGAAGCAGCCTGAGCCTGCTTGTAAGCTGCGACAAATGATCGACCGAGGATTCGGGAGCCTGTTAGAAAGGCTGTGACCACGAATTTGTGCGCCTGGGGTTATATGTTAGCCGCCACTCGAACCAATGCGGCGATTCTTGAAGTCAAGAACATAGCGGGCATGATCTAAGACGTGGGCGCATACCATTTTGAAGGATTATGGGTGATGGAGACGAATTGATTATCAGGAGAAAAGGTGGAGATATCGCTGAGAAGCGACGTTGAAATAGCGGCCCTCGTTCGCGACGAGGGAAAGGATCGTGATGGCGCTGCTAGAGACTTTTTCCCCGGGTGCAAAGTCGGCGGAGGCGGATCATTCCGAGGTCGGAATTTTGCACCTCCGATCAACCGGCAGCAGTACGATCTGCCGCAGTTTAGCCGAGTAGTACATCCACCACGATTCACCGAGCATCACCGAGACATATGCCCCGCGATGGAGCTGCAGAAGAGAATGTTAGGTGGCCGCAATGAGATGCATGGATGTAATAAATTTCATGAACCAAGACTGAAACTTGTCGCTGAATTTTAACTGCCTAGAGATTTATTTTCTCATCTCTTGTATTCATGTGAAGCTCTAAAGACTTTTATTCATTTTGTAAGCACCCTCTTCATGAAAATGTATAGGGTATCTCAAGCGGACATTAGTGTAGCTAATTCAACGACCAACTTCCAGCATCATACCTCATACTCCACAAGGGAAGCTGAGATCATGTCTATGTCACCTCAAGACGTGGCTGTCCTGATACAGCGTGAAGGAAGTGGAGCATCGCCAGATACTTACGATGCCGCCAACGAACCTGAGGATGCTGTTGTGAAACGAACAAAGCTATTATCTTCCGTGCTCGAAACTCTTAAGCAACAAGATCTTTCTTCGCTAGAGGCTACAGCCAAGGCGTTGGGCGACGGAAGTCGAGATGGTAAGTGAAATTACTTACCGTTTGTGAATTTGTTAACGTGGACACAGTGGCATGGAGACTCCCTTATGGAGATTCGGGAATTCTCGAATTCTTCCTTGACATTCTTGCCTCAGATGAGGAGCATCCTCATGGTGTCAAAGTCCAGGCTCTGCGTGTTACCGGAAATTCTTGTGCTGATACAGACCAAAATCGAGCTCGAGTTGTTGAGGGCAAACATATCGTTTCTTTCATCAAGCACCTTCAGGACATGAGCCTTGTTCCATATTTGATTCCGGTGCTCTACAATGTCCTTGTTGATTATGGTGAGTCTTGAAGATGACACTCGGGCGGGACAACACTGATACTCGTAGAACCTGCTCAACGTCTTGCTTCAGAGTCACGACTCAGCAGTCATCTCATCACTCTCCTTCAATCACCCAACCGCGCTGCTTTCAGCCCGCTTGTCACTTATTTCTGCAAGATCCTTGCTCTTCTCATCACACAAGATGGCGAGGTAGCTGTTGCAGATTCTGAGACGGCCTCCGTTCTCCTGAAGCTGGCAGTCAGCCCTGACCACAACACTGATATCGAGGACTTTCTCGCCCTCGTATCTACCGCAGCCAGTTATCTTGCCAATGAATCCTTCCAAGAGCAACTCCTCAACTCAAAAGAAGCAGATGTCTTCGTCAAGGCATTCTACATCGCACATACCCAATTCGACTCAGAGCTTGATGACGAAGACACTGCCAAGGAACTTGGGCAGCTGTGTACTTCGTTGCTTACAACCCTGGCTGACCTGACTGGCAATGACGCCTTCCCAGCTCATTATTCCCTTGAAAGCTCAGTGCCCCAGTCGCTTCTTAAATGGTTGAAGGAGCCGCATGTCATTCTTCAGTCCGCAGCTTGTCTGGCTCTGGGCAACCTCTCCCGTTCAGATCAGGCTTCCACGGCCTTTGTGCAGAAGTATCAGGCTCATCTTTCTCTGATCGCCATTCTTTCCGATCCCGAGATCAAAGATGCCCAGCTTCTTCACTCCGCACTGTCTTTCCTCAAGAATCTCGCAATTCCGGCACAGAACAAAACGTTACTAGGGGATCTGCTAAAGCCAGTGAGTGTACCGAGGATACTGACCATCGATACTCTTCCTCAGGTCCAGTTCTCGGCAGTTTCACTACTTCGTCTACTGCTTGTGAACTGCCCAGATAATGTTCGTCGAGTTGTTAGTCCTATAACAGCTGAAGGAGAGGGGTCTGGCAAGCACACAACTGTCCATGATATGATCTCGCTGTTTGATCGATCTGATACGGAACCTACCCGACTCGAAGCCGCACGAAGTGTTGCTACTGTATGCCGAGTTCTTCATACAGCACCCACCGAGGAGGTTCTTTCTGGATGGAGTTCTGAAATTGAAAAGACACCATCGAGGGATCTGTTCTATGCTGAACATGATCTTTCACAAGTGCTGTCATTCCTCATCATTCAAGAGAAGTGGCCCATTCTAAAATCCGAGGCATGGTTCGTCTTTGCTCTCATGTCGCGATCCAAGGATGGCGCCCAAGTTATCGCCAAAGTCCTTGCTATATCTGGAGCTATGGATGCTCTCAGTTACGCAGTCACCGGAAAGACGGCAAACAACGAAACACCACTGATCGAGAGTGGTGCCCCTGAAATCCCCCCAGCAATTCCTGAAGAGCTGGCATTGGAACCTCAGCAGGTTGACCCAAAACAAAAGGCTAATATGGCTAAGGTGGACAGAGAGAACTGTTTGGTATTGTGTACCGAAGTTGTCAAGAATGGGGAGACTCTGGAATCAAAGCAAGTTGGTCGATTACGGAGTTTGATTCGACAGGGCACAGAGTTGCTGGGGGAAAGGGCTGAAGAGTAGTAGAGTCTCAAGGAATGGAATAGACACGAATACTGGGGATAGACATCACTTTACGAATCGTTCAAAGCGTTGAAATCGTAATGAATAACTTTTTAAGAAAGAGATACCATATGCGCGTAATGCATCCATTGACCAAGTAATGATAGAGCAAAGCCGGTGATCATGCAGTAAATTTCTTGAGCTGGACCTAGAGTATCTTTCCTCCATACCCGGCCAAGCCTTTCATCAGAGCCTCGAACCGACGTTGCCCATGTCTCAGAGACGCAAAGAGCAAAACCCTCAAACACCAGTTCCCTTTTTGCAAGTTTATTTCTTAGCCGACTCAGCCTCGGCGGCATCCCGCACACGCTTCTGTCGGGCACCCTCGTATCGGGCGTTGGCACGAGCGACACGGAGAGTTCGGTAAGCACCGGCCTCGATGTTGGAAGGCATGTCACCCTTCTTGATCTCCTTGACAGCGATGTCGGTAGGGGCAATGGGGAGAGTAGCGGAGATGTGAGAGGCCTTCTCGATCTTGGAGACGTCGGTCTTGGTGTCACCCTTCTTGGGGGCGTTGGATCGGCGGGGGAGGAGGATCAATCGCTCCTGGTAGGCCTTGAGGCGGGCAACGTTGGCAGCAAGGGACTCCTCGCTGAGGTTCTGTCGGCGGAAATCGACAGCGATGCCGATGGTGGGAGCGAAAGCCTTGGGGATACCGGCCTCCTGCGTGGTTGTTAGAACTGCAATTCTTCTGGCGTATCTCGTATCGTGTGCATTCGACCGAGACGCAATATATCATACCTTGAGCTCAGCCAGGGTGAAACCACGGCCGGAGCGGACACGGCGGTTGTACTTAAGGGTAGGGCATCGCACAACAGGTCGGAGCTTGTCGACAGGTCGAGGTGCGAGGGCAGCAGCCTTGGCCTGACGAGCTGTGCGTCTCCGCGACTTCTTGCCGGGCTATTCCATAGTCAATATTTGTGTGCCAAGTAAATTTCCAGAAAATCGAGATGAATCGTTTCTTCTCTTCTCTTCTCGTCGGGTGTATCGTCATACCTGGTCGAAGTGGGTTCGAACCCGGCGCTGCCAATCCTTGCGGAAGTCTGTTGAAGGAGTCAGTCCCTCAAATCCTCTATCATATCGTTATTCGGGGGTGGTGCGGCTCACGGTTGTTGACGAGCTTCTGGTTGTGCTTGATCGCCTGTAGTAAATCAGGTCAGCAAATGCGAATGCACTCGAGCGCGATGAACATTATCCATCGCATTGGGCGTATCTCCATACCATTGTGTCTGCTTGCGATCAACGTGCTCCGATGGTCGATGTCGGTCGTGAGGCGTGTAAAATTCGGAGGGTAGAGGCTTGTCCAATTTCCAACTCAAGAAGGGTTGTGCCCTTAGATTTTAGTGGGTTGTTAGCGAGTTGCCCAAAGATGTGGATCACGTGCTGGATGTGGGCTTTCAAATTCATGATCGGGAGAATGTTGCAGCGGTGCCGCCGGGATTTAGACGGGCGAGTTTGGAGAGACTTGGTGCAAGCAATTCAGAACGGCTGTGAGTTGATGTTGATGGGTTGCAGAAGCCACAGAAGGCTCTATATATCATTTTGGCGGTTCATGAGCATATTATAAACACGGCATCTGTTGTTGTAACGGAATTCCATAATAGAAGAAGAGTGTTTGTATGTGCTCGAACTGGAAACTACTTTTGAAGATCTCGTCACATTGACTCTCTTCAGGCTCAGTGAACATGGAAGTATTTCACTGTCAGATTGTGATTGGAGGTCTTCCCATCATGAGAAATGGTTCGAATCTGCATCCAATATGTTCTTGTTCAGCAACCATTAAAGCTGAGATCAGCCATCGTCTTGTACACAAGATAAATGTCACCAGACACAAAGTCCTGAGGACAGTTAAAGATTTTCATCATTAGGCTCGGATGAAAGAGATATCCTTGAGGCCTTCTGGCAAATAATAAGGAGGATATAATGTGAAGGTACTGCTCGAAGTCTCTCGATCAGCAAGGTCTTTGTCAAATCATCACTGGTCATGCATTTCTTCAGCACTAGCGCTAGTCGCTGCATACCTTACTCTCTCTCTCTGTGTGTGGTCGATGCACTCCACAACCACCAATTGCGGCGGAAACACAATGCTCAGAAAATAATTTCACAAAATCTCAACTTAATTTTGTTTTGGCAGGTGCACGCAGGTGCCGGGGGCGTTGCACAATTTCAAGCATCCACAGAGAGTGGCCCCTGCCCTGCTGCCTCCTGCCTGCAATTTCCCAGGCACCGAACGCCTCAGCATCAAGGCATCAATCCCTTCTCCATCTGCCTATAAAAAGCGGCTCCCCCTCCCTCCTCTTGTTCTGTTTTTCTTTTCTTCTTCATACTTACCTTGTTGAGAGGAAGCCAGCTCAAGAATTGGCTTCCTCAGCATGGAGGGCCTGCATTGCACATCGCGGAGTCACTCTTTGCTCTATTGTCCTTCGGGGCCATAGTCGGCGGAATTTTTGATTTAAACCCACTTTTCATTGTGTTGATGGCTTGATGCTATCTCATGAAGAAGAGTCTTGTGTGATGTGCCGCGATGCTGAGGTTAGACAGGTACTTCTCGATTGCCCTGATCCTGGGTTGATGTGTGATGATTGAGGCAGACGTAAAGTCTTGGCGCCCAAGTCTATTTGTGAAGTTCCACAGCTCATGATTCGATCCGGTTGTAGAAGCCCAATAACGGCTCTCATCCTTTACCTCACGCTCACACTCGCCGTAGCCTGTGAATTGATATGCCGATGATCCGATACTTCTCGACTCATGTACTTGGTTACAGCATGGCATTGCGTGGACGTGAGTACTTGACAAAAGGGACATCGCGCATTTGCCTGTTTACTCGAGATTTGCCAAACATACTGCCGTGGTGACTGCAAATGCTAGATCCATTGACGAGCATCTTGATGGCTTCATCGAAATATATCCATTCTACAGTAGCATAAAACTTCGTTGTCAGCATCAGATGCCAAAATGAAATCGTCAAAGGGTCTCCTGGGTTTGTGCTAAATTTACACGAGTGTTTTTGGCGCTTGGGACCCAGGTTCTCAGGTAGTCGACATCATCTTCCAGTATCTCCATCTTCACAGCCCACCATCCTCTCACCCGAAGCTATTCCGCACCAATCACATTCCCACAATTCCTTCTCGCAGCAGTTCGAAAAATCTCATGACACCACTTTCCATCCTTCCTGTCAACGGCCAATCCATTCGATCACCTCGCCCTGGTAACTATTCTCCGCGGAATAAACCCTTCCTCACACAGAGACAATGGCTTCCAGGATGGGCCCCCGGAGCGTAAAGGACGCAACACGATTTACGTCCACAATCCCCCACGCAACATCGAAGGCCGCGCAGAGAGCACCACGCATCCCAGGCGAAACACCCGAGCAGCGAGTGAGGAGACTGCGACAGGCTCATCTTGCTGCTCAGCATGCCAGCATTAGCAAGACGGATAAGTTTATCGATGCTTCGAGGAGAATCTTCGATGTAGCGCATCGTTGGACGGTGGGAAGCATTGTGGTGTTCACAGGTACGAACGACTGAACGAAACATTCGACTGCAATCGCCAGCTGACAAGCATTCTAGTTGTTGCAGCTGTTGTCTCCGGATACTCTGTCTGGGATATGATTCGTTACAACCGAGCCCGCCGAGCCGAATGGGTCGAGGCCCAGAAGCTACTTGAAGCCGATGAGCTTGCTATGGCACGTCTCGCCTACATCAAGGGCGAAGCTACAGAGGAACAGATCCTTCTCGTCGAGGAAGCCAACCAAGCTGCCGAAGCAAGAGGCGAGAAGCTACCACCTTTGCTCGAGGCACCTTCACACCGCACACATTTTGAAGAACACATCAAGCCCACATTTAAAGAAAACACAGAGGAGAATGTTACAAAGCCATCAAGTGGGAAGGGTGTACTAGGGATTTTCTCTGGTGTGCTAGGCGGCGGAGAGAAGAAGGAGGAGTCAACACAAGGCCTCCAGGATTATCAGACACAGTCAGTCGAGTCGGGAGCTGTCAAGGTGAGGTTGGAGGAGGCGATGGCAGCAGAGCGGGAGCGTCAACAAAATGGAGGCCCCCTAGACAGGCTAGGTGTTGAGCCGCCTGCAGGCTCAACTCCTAGCAAGTCTTGGTGGAAGTTCTGGTGATGTGTATAAAAATCTAATTGGAAAGAGGAACGGATGGCAACATGAAGGAAAACAAAGCGGAGTGTACGTGGTGGGACCAAAAGGAGTGTATCATATGTGTAGATTGGCAGTGCATTAGACGGCGTCGGGGGACCATCTTGTATGTACCATCAGGGAACAAGTCTACTTACCACATCTATTCAATACCAAGCGATCAAATAAGCGCCACTGATTCTTCAAGTTGGGTGAGATGATGAGCTGCGAATGTCTCCATTACTTAAATTGACATTATCGCTATTCTGGTATTGCCATGCATACCTGACGATCTCAAGATCGTATCGCTAACTTCCGATTCCCTATTACAGGGTGGTCAATGTATACCCGTAATGACCAAATGCTATCCATACCCGCCCGCTTGCCATTGCCTATAACGCCAAGTAAACAAAAAGAAAAATGAAAAAGAAAAGAAAAAAAAGGAAAGAAAAAATCAAATATTGTCTTGAACTGGCAGATTCCAGTCCGTCTCTTCAAAGGCCCGGTCATGCCTGAATTATGGCCGTCTGTGATAGTCTGAGCTATCAAAACGTTTGCATCTCCTCACAAGGTTGCAAAAGGCGTAGGACTACGATTTTCCCTTTCGCCGATGGAAGCAATTTCCCCCGAAACAAAATCACTAAAAGCAAGTTTGCGCCTCTGTCGTTTCTTTCTCCAATCAAGCGGCCTCACGCCACTGTCCTATAGTGAGGGTTGTTCGTCAGGATCTAGGATAATCTTCTCTTTTCCCTAAGAAACAATGATGTGGTTGAAGTGTCCTGGAACCTTTAAGCGGCACTTTTCGCAGTCTGCTCGATATCCTATGCTGAAGCTCTTCTTCATGCCGGGCTGCCAGGTCCAGTTGTTGACGGTGTGTCGGCTGCGAATATGGCCTCTCCTAGGAGAAGGCGTTGTTGGATCACCATCACCATCAACTGAATTGCCCGAGCAGTGGGATTCCACATCCATCATAGGATGTTCCACATCATGGGGAGGTGAAGGCTCAACAGTCACATTGGGATGTTCCATACCGGGGGTGACAAAACCATGGGCACTGGCATCAAATTGCATACCGGTAGGGGTGATGGGTTGGCAGGCCATGGAATCATCACCTTCGGAAATGGGTGAGGGAAGACGTCGTTCATTCTGGATGGCTTGCCATCCTCCGGCCATTGTGCGAGGGACACTCTGATCATCACCAAAGCCGGTGTTTTGGTGACCTAGGTTTGCAACACCGTTGGGAGTTGTCACAGCCTGCTGACCTCGAACCTGTGCAGCAAAGCTAGGCTGAATAGGCGTGGGCAGACGCCCGTTTGCGTTGTCAGATTCTTGGTGCATCACCCCAAGTCGGCCTTGTTCGTGATGTTGGGGTTGATATGTCTGCATCATATCCATGTCGGTGTCTCCATGAGACTGTGATGTCATGTTCGTTGACGATGACCATTGTCGAATTTCTGGCTGAAGATGATCGTGGGGGGCGAAGCTCGGGGCTGGCATGGGCGCATCAGATTGCCATTGTTGCGTCGTTCTAGGATATGCACGGAGTGGAAGGCACTGGATACGTTTCTGCCACATCTTTAGTATTCGACATCATGTGAAAACGCCCTCGTGGCTGCGATTGCAGGAAACTTACGTTGCGGTGCTCGCTGAAGCTCATGCCGTTAGCATTCGCGAGTTCTTCCTCTTCACGGACTCGCTTCCGCTGATCGAAACCAGCATGCTGAACAGCAAACATTTTATCACTGGCTGTTTACTGGTTTGGTGAAAAAGTAGTTGTGGTCAGAAAATACTGAACAAATCCGACAAGCTGGAACAAACGATGCTGACTTTGCTGTCGGACCCTGGGTATTAACACAGGTGGATACGGCTCTGTAATGTCGACGGACAAAGGTTCCTTGGAGGGTCGTAGTTACAGTAGTACTAGCACCGCGGGGGTATCCGATGCAAGGCGAGTGATGTAGTTTAGTAACGTGATAATACGAGATAAAGCAAAAGTGACGAGTCGGCGGTGATGCTGCCGACAAATATGAATGCGATGCGATGCGATAACGTCAATGACAAAGCCAAAGTAAAGAGCAAGAGGTTGGGCCGTAGAGAGTTGAAGAGAGTTTGGTTGGCGTGGGCAAGTTGTTAGTGAGCATCCGATTCACGAGGGAAGTGGCGGCCTGTCGTCGGCGAAGGAAGCCACGGACTAGTGTGGATCGGCTGGGCTCTGTAGGCAGCGTGTGGTAGCCTATAATAGATAGCCTTTGAGGGTGGGGAGCGAAGCTTGGAACGCAACAGTGAAGCCGGTGGGCGGAGGCTGGGAATTGGTTTTGGGGCTGGCTGGGGCTGACTGTTACTTGAAAAAGAGGACCAACAGCAAATCAAAAGAGGGTATAAGGAAGTGAATATCAGAAAATAAGTGAGACAATTGGAAGGAGCGGGGAAATAAGTTGATCTATAATGTCTTGGATATGGCTTGGGGGGGTTATTCTCGGGCGTTGGTGAAGGGCGAGGCCGTTGGTGATAAGAACATGGGATGAAAGTAAACAAAGGATAAAAAGAGGTGATTGAAGATGATTTGCACAGCAATTGACGAATTGGTTAATTGAATAAAAGAAATACACGTCAGTGAAGTCTACTGCAGCTTAACTAGAAGCTCAACAAACGAAGATAGTGAATGGAATTGAATTGTAATGATTGTCAATAAGGAAAAGGGGTTGGTTGGTTGGTTCTGTGAATGAAAGTGCAAGAAATGGATGGGAAGCCAAAGTTTGTACCAACGCCACGGCGCACCTTGCAACAGACCAGACGATCCGATTCCAATGCCTCATGCTACTCGCCAAAGTCGTATTAGTCGTGGGGTCGCCGAGAATCCGAGCGATCCCTTGAAGAAACCGATGACTTAATCGGCACGATCCCTGAATGATTGAGGCTTGTCATGCTCATGCTCATGCTCACTCATGTTCACGAGTTAGTTACACGAGAAAAGTAAAGAGGAGGGCTGAGTGGACAGCCTGGACTAGCAACAAGGGTCTCACGGACCAACAGATCCGCTCCCGGAGGCGATGCGAGGCTCTCAGACGCAACGCGGTTCACCATGTTTGACGAGAGTTGTGAGAGTTGACATGTTGGCAACGGAACTCTGTGTGTCTTGGTTTCAGCTATGTTTCGCTTACTCGGCTTGAGTCTCAGTGAGTGCGTGTTCTTCTGAGATGTCAGAAACGGGTCTCGATTTGGCTTGGGGATGTCTGAGACAGCTTCTGCAGTTGGTCAATCCATTGCTCGGCCACTGGCTCATCCGAGTCGATGTAGGGTAGCATCTTGTGAGTTGTACGAAAACTCGATCGTGGATAACTATCTAGGATGTGATACGAACTATTTCTTCTTAAGAAGTATCACATCCTCGATTGCATGAATTACGATAAATCGTTGAATAATCGTTGGGCGGTTTGTTGCCCCCCTTTTCTCGGCGACACGCATTCCTCGTGTTACCATGATGAACATACAAACTTCCAACGTGGGGAGATTTGCAAACAGCCACGATACCAGCAGACTGTGTCGCAATATTTTCACATACCGACGTCACCGAAAACTCATCCCTAGTCCCGTTTTTTCCGAGATGCAATTATCTCTTAACTGAAGTTCATATTATTTCAAAAGGGTTACAGTTGATTATCGTATGTTGATTCACGTTGTTTTCCGAGACGCGTCTATTGGTAGGGAGAAGTCGACGATGCTATTGGACGCTAGTTTCTTGGGACGAGACCCTTGAACCCCGGATCGAAATTATTACACTCCGTAGGCCCGAACATTATTGTCATGAATGAACACGAGGGGGAATAGGAGTCTGGGAGACAGGATCGTGGATACTCAATGGCCAAGGGAGACATGATCGTCTTAGAGAGGACTTGCGATATTCGAATATTATGTTTATTGTTTGCTCTGTCTTACCGCCCCGACTCGTCGAGAGCTAATGCAATACGGCAGTGAACCATGGTGCATGATGGCCTCTCACAAAACTGCGGAGGTTGTACCCACGAGCTGAAAGGGAAGCGAACGCGGCGGTAAAAGGTATCGCCCGTTTCTTGCATACAGAAGCCTCCGGCATAGGCGGTCTGCTATTTGAGCTTTGTTTAAAGGACATGTGATGAGTCGCTGGCTCTGAGATAAACGCACATGTCTAATGTTCAGTATTTACTGGCCAGGCCTCACCGAGATGTTGAGCTCTACCACGGACCCAGACCGGAGCCAATTGAGCTTAGACCATTGATAATTTCAAAGATTCTAGAACCCTGACGTAGTTGACCAATGTATTTCGCATGTAACTCCCTGCAAAAAACACAACCCCTCGGTGGGGTACCCTCCGAAGGTCCTCCGGTGTGGTAGTGAGCGAGTGGTGCGAGAAGAGTCACCCTGAGCCAAGCTAAAAATTGTGTCTACAACCTCTCTCTCTCGATTTCATATACTTTCCCTCAACCTTTTTAACGCACATCACCGTCTTCAGTCTCGTGGCGCTCGTATTGAAGTTTCTTTTGACTCACCTCGGTCGCCTACTCCGTCGAGCTTCACTGAAATACTATAACTCTTCCCGCCAAAGGTAGATCAAATTGTGCCCCTCCATATCAAAATTTCAACTTTGGAGAAGATCAACAGCTCACATATTCACAATGCCTTCAGCCGTAGAAATGGTCACTATCGCTGCCGATGACACCAGAGGTTAGTTTTTCCCATAAAGATTGTTGTTCTTTTGAAATTGCGCTGCAATTGGGCCCCGAGAAGTCATGATGCGCCCTGTGGCAGCCCTCTTTGCGGCGCAATGCTTCAGTACCTCGGAGGCGACACAGGGAGCTTCTTTTCTGCAATTGGCTCTCACAGCATTCTGGATTGCAATAACGCCCCCGCGCTGTATTCGTAACGCACCAAGAATCGCAGCTAACTCGAACCAGTCCTTGGACAGGATCCTCTGATCCCTCCTGCTCTTCTCACCTCCGAGATCCCTCTACCCGAGAAGGCCACAAACACCGTTGTCAAGGGCCGTCAAGATGCTGCCGACATTGTCCTTGGCCAGAGCGACAGACTCCTCGTCGTTGTCGGTCCCTGCTCCATTCACGACCCTGCCGCCGCTCTGGAATACGCTTCCAGACTCAAGGAGCTCTCTGACAAGCTCTCCGACGATCTCTGCATCGTGATGCGCGCCTACCTCGAGAAGCCCCGAACAACCGTTGGCTGGAAGGGTCTCATCAACGATCCCGATATCGACAACTCCTTCAAGATTAACAAGGGTCTCCGCGTTTCTCGTCAGCTGTTCGTTGACTTGACCAGCAAGGGTCTGCCTATTGCTACCGAGATGCTCGATACCATTTCTCCTCAGTTCCTTGCCGACTGTATCTCCGTTGGTGCCATTGGTGCCCGTACCACCGAGTCCCAGCTGCACCGTGAGCTTGCTTCCGGTCTGTCTTTCCCTGTTGGTTTCAAGAACGGCACAGACGGTAGTCTTGGTGTTGCCATTGACGCCATTGGCGCTGCTGCTGCTCAGCACCACTTCATGGGTGTCACAAAGCAGGGCCTTGCTGCTATTACCCGCACCAAGGGTAACGAGCACTGCTTTGTTATTCTCCGTGGTGGAACCAAGGGCACAAACTTCGACAAGGAGAGCGTCCAGGCTGCTAAGAAGGTCCTTCAGGATAAGAAGCAGAAGGAGGCTATCATGATTGATTGCTCCCACGGTATGTTTCCGAACTATACCAATCGAGTTTGAAATACTAACATGCGTCAGGTAACTCCTCCAAGAACCACAAGAACCAGCCCAAGGTTGCCAAGGTTGTTGGTGAACAACTTCGTGAGGGCGAGAAGGCCATCATTGGTGTCATGATCGAGTCCAACATTGGCGAGGGTAACCAAAAGGTTCCCGCTGAGGGTCCTGCTGCTCTCCAGCGTGGTGTCAGCATTACTGATGCTTGCATCAACTGGGAGGACACAGCCGTTGTGCTCGAGGACTTGGCTGACGCTGTCCGCACTCGCCGCAAGGTCAACCGCTCTTAGAAGGTTGCACCTGTGGAGTAGAAGGAGTGGAATACAAGGATTTAGTTAAAAATGCTGTGTTGTTTTGGGAGTTAATGAATAGACCTAGGTAGAAAGGTCAGGTGATGGAAAAGTCGGCGCACATAGGTTGCATGGAAATTGGCACAATGCCTGATCTTTTTATCATATACACTCATGAATATTCCGAACATTGCTAAAGGGGTCAACTGACCTCCTGTAAACTTCAGATAACCCAAGGACGCCAAACTCCTCTACCGAGTGACGGAGACAGATACCACACCTATCCAAACACAGATGAGTACGATGCCATATCATTTATCATCTCATCGGAAGTTCCCTTGCATGGGAGCATAATTGCTGCCCTGTCTTCCAAACGTAGGCCCCTGGCGCAATGCTACAACCTTCTTGAACGCAGCCCAGCCCAACAATCCAACAGTACCAATAATGAAAGCCCATACGATGATCTTGTCTTTGTTGCTGTCACGTTGAAAGCACATAGTCGTGACGTCCTCTTCTGTCGCGTCCTTGCAGAAGTCAATGCCCTGCTTGAGACAAAAGGCCTTGGTACATTCGGAGCATGATTTCGATTTCGAGCGTGGCTCGAGATGAGGAGTCGAGAAATCGAGAACGGCGCGACGAAGCTGGGATGAGGATGTTTCGCCTTTGGGCCCGAGGGGGATAATGGTGCTGTTCTTAAAGCATGTGCATTTACAGAAGGTTGGCGCAGCTGGAATGTGTCAGCTCTGTTCAGTGTAGATACCCGTTATACTAACATGCTGCGGCAAGCGTGGCCAAAGCTCCTAGCAGGAGGATAAACAGAGATATTCGTGCCATTACGGCTAATTTGGGCTGTAGATAATGTCTTATCGATCATGGAGGTTGGACGTCAATTACTTGAGGCTATCGATAGTTGACAACAAGTGGGCCAAATAAGAGTATCCACTTCAGCCTCGTAAACTCTCATTGGCCGATAGAACCACATTGTAAAAAGTTCCATATTGAAGTCGCTCTCTAACCGTCCCATCATCACGACTTCTTTCGGCTTTCTCTCAGTCCGCCGATTCGTCACGCCAAAATGCCTCGAATACCGCGGGTAGGGGCTCTAGCCTCTCTTCCATCGACAGTCGTCCCCGTCAACCGAGTCCCCTTCGTTGCCCGCGTCGCCTTCTCAACAACCCCCGTCCACGCAGCTGGTCGCAAGGCCGAATGGCTCCGAGATAAGCTGTGGAAGGGTGAAGCTCCTGGAGGCGATGATCCTTATCAAGAGAGAGTGGAACCAGAACAGACATCAAACTTGCCAGAGGAGGCCTTGGATCTGTCAAATGTCGACCGCAGACCCTACCCTGTGCGCACCACTCGTCTCGTGCTACCTCCAAGCCATTCCGAAGCCATGACTGAGAAGGAAGTCGAGTCTGTCGACACTGAATATACGCCCGCGACTTCAATTGATGATCTGGAGGAGATTTCACCCGTCAAGACATGGTGGGACCAACCAGGTCACTGGGGTGAGGAGAGCGAATTCCAAGGCTTCGGCAGCGCAAACCGAGTAGAGGATCAAGCAGTTATGGAGATTTACGTACGTCAAGCTCTGGTCGAGTCACTCTCATACCAGCAGCGAGGACTTCTTGAGGAATATGCGGTAAAGAAGTGGCCTTTTGGTGACAGGGCCCACCTGGACCGAACATTGTCTGTGGGAATTCGATTTAAGGATGGAAAGCCTCTTCTCAGCACTCATTGGAGTGTTGTCACTGAGAAGTTGAAGAATGTCAGGCCCGGAGAGGTTGAGGAAAAGGTTGAGATTTCTCCTGAGGAGGCTCAGCAGATGGTTAATGCTCTGGACCCCTCATGGAAGACCGCCACTCTTGACGATGACCACCTCAAGTTTGCTGTATGTGTCCCACCTCTTCCCAGATGTGATTTGTACTGACAATATGCAGATCCGCAAGCGTATCTACCAACTCACAGGCCATTTCATTCCCGACGTCAAGGTCGCCGCCGCCCGCACACCACAAGAGCTCATCACCGTAGCCCTAACATTCGCCAAGCGGGGCAAGAAGCTCGCCGAGGTTCTTGAGGATCAGAAGGCCCTGTTCGCACTTCCTAACGTCAAGGTGCACAACAGGAGAGTCACACCTATTGACCGTGAGGTTGCTGTTGGTCGCTGGAAGATTATTGAGGAGGAGTTGCAAAAGCGAGATCTGCCTGTTACTGGCACAGGGAAATATGGGAAGAATAAGGAAAGGGATTGGCTGACCGGTAAGGCTTAAAAGTTCATGTGAGGTGTATGAACAGAGGTGATGTATGACTGTATATCTGTACATGTATAATAGACGAACAAAGAAATCTTGCATCACTGTTGCTATTCTCTTAATGTGATGCAGTGCTGACCAACTATACCTTTCTCGAGATAACTACGCACACAGCCAACATCCTCGACTTCTATCATTGCATAGAAACGATTTTGAAGCACTTTCTGCAGCGCCTCTTCAGCATTCCTACATGAGGAAAGACCATATATCAGCGTAGCACAGGCATATAGCATAAAAGTCGTAAAGATGGTTACTTATTTGAACTTGCTCATTCATGCAGGTGCAACCATGCTTGAGCATCTTGTCTCATTCTTTATGCAACTAATTTACAGGTATTTGTTCTTGCGTAGCCACTCCTTGACATCCTCCTTATCCCTTGCGAGCCAGTTTTGCTTGGCGGTCATAGAATCAAGACTCTGGGCCAGCTCAAGGTCGAATCCCTTGGTACCCTTCTGCTCAAAGAAAGTCTTCACATCGGAAATCTGGTCCTTCTGTGTGAGAGAGCTTGTAGAAATGGCGACCATATCGCCAAGGAGCGACATGCCAGGTGGGAGTCGCTTGGTGAGAACGTCCCAGTTGTCCTTGACCCATCCCCAAAGAGCCAAGATACCCTCCTTGTGAGCGCGGAGACCGCTGAGAGGCATGTAGATATCCTGGGTCTTGACGTTATCGCTCAGAGTGTACTCCAGAGTTCGCTTGATAAGAGCAGCATCCTTTGCAAAACCAAGTGACCGGAGAGCAGTGTTTCGCTCACTGCTTTGCTTGGCAGTCTCATATTCTTTCAAAATATCATTATACTCCTTCTCGCCTCCATATGTAACCACAACAGCGAAAACACTAGGTCGCAAGTTGGGCTGTACAGCATCTCGATCACCATTGATGAACTTTTCGAACAAGTCGAAAGCGGCCTTCTTGGTAGGCTCGTCCTCGACAATGGCGGCCTTGCCGAACATAAGGGCCTTCATTCTCTGGGCAGTGAAGTCATCCTTGTCAGAAATATCCCAACCGATCTCGTTAGCCTTCTTGCTGACCAGATCCCTCTGGAAAGTCTTGAGAGCCTCATTGACATCATCATCTTCAAAGATCCAAGCATCACGGAGAGATCCGACACGGAGAGTGATCTCATCCCAGACAATGAACTCGTCTTCGGAGTCAAATTCTTGGAGGAGCGACAGCAAGCCAGATGTCTTCTGGTAACCAGCAGCGGCAAGGGCACCGGCATCTGCAATCATACCGGCCCTATCTTCAACACCCAAGAGACCCGCCTTGGCGTTTTGACCAAGCTTTTGAAGTCGCTCGCTAGTATAAGATGTACGGTAGATACCAGAATGGCCAGAGTTGATCTTGTAGAAGTCAAAGTCAGGCACCTTGAAGTCGGCCTCACGTGTGTTGAGTGCCAGATCTTCCTGGATACCGTCCTTAGTTCGAAGGTTGAGGAAGACGGGGTAAAGGACTTCATCCTCCTCAGGCTTGACATCGGCCGTTCTAAGGAACCGGTTCTGCTTGACGTGGATTGTGCCCTTGCCTTCGTCTTCTGTGACTGCTACGACTGGGTAACCGACCTTCTTGGTCCAGATGTCAGCAACGCGCTCAACATCCTTACCACTGGCCTCACTGAGAGCGGCCCAAAGGTCTGTGGTCTCAGTGTTGCTGTATGCATGTCTATCGAGGTAGATTCGGATACCCTTCAGAAAGACGTCCTCGCCCAAGTATTTTGAGATCATGCGCAGGACACAAGAACCCTTCTCATATGAGATAGCATCGAAGATTTGGTTGACCTCATCAGCACGCTTGACAGGCACTTCAATAGGGTGAGAGCTGCGCAGAGAGTCGAGACCGAGGGCAGATCGGAGATCCTCAGTAACATAACCCTCCCAAATCCTCCACTCGGGGTAGAAGGCGTTAGAAGAATACCAAGACATCCATGTTGCAAAACCTTCCTTGAGCCACAGGCCATCCCAGAAGTCCATTGTGACCAAGTTGCCGAACCATTGATGAGCCAGCTCATGTTGAACGACCTCGGCCACGCGCTTCTTGGTGACGGCGCTGCTGGTCTTTTCATCCAATAGAAGATCAACGACTCGATATGTGATGAGACCCCAGTTCTCCATGGCTCCAGCAGCAAAGTCAGGCACAGCAACCATGTCCATCTTGGGAAGAGGATATTGGCTGCCAAATTGCTGCTCGTAGAACTCGAGTGTTCGAGCAGCTAGCTCGGCGGAAAAGACGGCATGGTCAAGGTCTTGATCGGGAGTACACCATACTCGGATAGGGACTCGAAAGTTGTTGGTCTCGTAGTGCTTGAGGTCACCAATGACGAAAGCCAGAAGGTAGGTAGACATGATGGGAGTCTTGTTATAGGTAATGGCCTTGCGCTTCTTGCCTGTAACCTTGGAGTCGACTTCTTTCTCAGAAGCGACATCCATGTTACCCAAGCATACCAGATCCTTGTCAGCAATGAGTGTTACGGTGAATGTCGCTTTCAGAGCTGGCTCGTCCAGGCAAGGGAATGCGCGGCGAGCATCGGTGGCCTCGAACTGGGTGGTAGCAAGGTATTTGGTGTTGCCATCTTCGTCCTTGTATGATGACCTGTAGAAACCTGCCATGTCATCATTGAGAGTACCGGTGAAACGTTGAGTCAACCTCGCCTTTTGGCCAGCGGGAATCGTCTTATCGAAGGTAACGGTGGTGGTTTGGGTATCCTTGTTGTAATCGAGGGTAGGTGAGGAGCTAATGGTGGCACCATTGGCTTCAACAAGTGTCTCGTGGATATCAATTTCGACTGTGTTCAGGGCAATAGAGGTTGAATCTTCGACGACATCGAAGTCGATGATGACGGTACCTTCATACTTGAAGGTCTCGAAGTTTGGCTCGAGGGTGAGATCGTAGTGCAGAGGCTTGACATTTTTGGGAAGCACTTCGCGTCCACGACGAATGTCGAGACTCGCGCTAGCGACATCGTTTCCGTTGCGATACATGGCTCGTCGACAAGAGCAGTTACGCTGCTGCTGACGAGGGACGAGAGAAGAGACTTTTGAGTTGTGGAGAGGTTGAGTGAGAACCGATCGAGGGGAAGAAGCTGTGGTAAAGGTAGAGGAGAGAAAGTAATGTAATTGAGAGCGGTGAAGAGGTTGATATGGTGTTGTTATAGAAGGAGCTGACCCGTAAGTTGAGGCTCTAGCTCTTGAGCTGATGCGGGGGAGGGGTCCTGAATGGAAGGTGCGACGGATCATCGGCAGGTCGGCATCGTAACCTCCGGGCTTCGTCAGCGCTGAACGACCTGGAGGAGCAGCGGGAGCAGGAGTAGGAGCACTGAACGGCAGGCAAAGAGCCCGCCGCATTGAAGATATCAATGGATTCTTCATAGTCACCAGCAAAGCGAAAATAATCTCATTGCACCCTGAAAATGGAAACAGGGTTGCAATTGCCCTCGAAGAAACACATTGAGTGTGATTCGGAAGATTTCGTGCAGACTGGACCACACCCTTGGATAAAAAAGCTTGGGCCATGCATATTAATCGCTAACGAGCACTAAAATAGATTGATCAAGTCATCAAATTCTCGTCTCAACTTAGACCTCTTCATCATCATTTACCTAAAACTTTAAGACTTTAGTCCTAAGTGACAAAAAGACTTAGTTGAGTTTACCTGAATTTACTGCAGTTCAGTATAGACTTGGCCGACCCTTCAACTACCTATAGCAGTTTATTTCTGCAAGACTATCATGGATGTCTTTTAACCCACCCCAAGGCCTACTAACAGAGCAGTCATGATACGCTTATTATCACTAGAGACGACGACACTATGTGGTGACATTACACATTCTTCGTTCAATTTTACACATAAGCCGGTATTATCAGATACCGAGTGCCTCCCTGCGACTCTTGCTATTCAGATCAAGATAAGGCGCTTCGCCAAGACTACAAACTCGATCTCCAGCTCTCGCTTCCTCATAGTCATATGTCGCGCAGTGGAAAGTTGATCTATTATCCCAAATCGCAAGATCATTCTTGCTCCAACGGTACCGGACCTGGGCATCGTGGTTCTGTGTCACTAGGTTGAAGAGGTACGCCAGTAGTGTATCGCTCTCATCTTTTGACAATCCATTAATGCGCTTGGTGAAGCCCTTGTTGACAAACACTGACTTCCAGCCTGTGACTGGGTTTGTTCGGATAAGAGGATGGACAGATGTGAGGTTCTCGCCTTGATTTAGAGGAGAGCCACGGATGCCCTTGCGGATTGGGTTGCCCAGGCGTCGTGCCTCGTCGTGGAAGAAGCTGGCATCGTGAGTCGCGGTCAATCCTTCGAGGAACTTCTTCATGGGGTCTGAGAGTCTATCGTAGACCTCATATCCGGATGCCCAAAGCTGTTCCAAATTAGCAAGATGTAGGTGGCCGAGAAGAACAGAACCAAGCAACACGGGTTGTTTGAACCTCTGAGTGGCAAAGACATACCGTATCACCACCTGTCTTAGGTAGAGTGTGTATCTTGAGCATAGCATAGTCTGAGGGTACCTTTTCAAAGGTGATATCGCTGTGCCACCCAGCAGATGCATATCGGCTTACATCGCTGAGCTGATGTGTCAAACCACCCCCCTTCTTCTGCTTCTCACTTGAGATAACACTGATCTGATCACCTAACTCACTACCCTCTTCAGTCAAAGGGTGCACATGCAGACCTGAGCTAGTAGGGCATCCAGCAACCTCTGTAAGCCGCAGCATAAATTCCTTCATCTCTTGAGGAGTGACATCCTGGTTCTTCAGAAAGACAACACCTCGCTGAGAAATAGTGACTGCAAGGTCACGGATGTGTCTCTCATCCCATTTCACGAGGTCTCGAATTTGAAGACCGTTGTACTCACGGCCGATGACCGGGGTGACGTCAAGCTGAGGAATGTCATCAAGACTACCCGTGTAAGTCAAGGGTTCTGATAGACGTGGACGGCTTTGGACATCTCCGCCGACGATATTGCTAGAAACGGTCTCGGGCGCAGCAGAAGGCATGATGCAATATGTGCTTGAGTTTGAACAATATTTCTCAATTGATAAGAAAACGAGGGCCAACAGTGACAATTATGTGAAGCTGTATCCAAGCCGGAGACTCTTTCGGAGGATAATCACCCATTGATAAATAACAAGGGCCCGGCATGACGGGAATGAGTCTAACCAAGAATGGAATATTCAGACCGTTACAGGCCAAACGTACAATGCCGAATCATTTCCCCCCGCAAAGACGACATCGGGACTAATGATGGCATGCTTGAGAGAGGAGAATTTCTCGGAGAATCTACCCCAGCTCTAACGAGGGGTTTGGACCAATCTTGTGGCCGTAATTTCTACAAGTGCCCTGTCAGGTGGTCACTGCATGATGCTCTGAGTTCCTAATCCACCTGTTGCATCTCACCTGGAGAACCCTTGGCGGATCATGGCCCTTGACTGTGAGAATTGAGTGTTACCAGATCTGGCTTCATGTCCTTATGGCGTGCGCGATCGAGCCACCCACCAAGGGGACTATTGTGTATACTACCTACCGAAAGAGTCTCCGACGATAAACTATATCCATGGTCAAACTGTAGATGTCTCTTATATATCTGACCGAGAACCCAAGTTTTGGGATCATTCCTCAGCGACGATCACCTCAATTGAGTCTCTTAATAGTTACCAAAACTCATTGAGTGAGATTCTTTGTTTACCATGGGTAACCCGGATATCGAGACGAGCTCGGCAGTTGCTCAGCGCGTGTCGGTGGAAATCACCAAGACGCAAGTCGGAGTTGGCCGAGAGCAATTGTCAGACGCTTTGCCGCCTCATGCCGACTACGAAGGCGGCCATCGGTGGGATCCCTCGGCTACATGGACTCCTGAAGAGGAGAGACGGGCTGTACGAAAGACTGATCTCAAGCTTTTGTCTTGGTTGTGTCTTATGGTATGTATTTTTACTCAATTGGTGATGAAATTGACTTATACGATATAGTTCTTTGGTCTGCAATTGGATCGAGGAAACATCTCCAACGCGCTCGCTGATGACCTCTTGACTGATCTCGGATTGACCACCGACGATTACAACAACGGAACAACCATCCAAGTCCTTTGCTTCTTGCTGGCTGAATTCCCAGTCCAATTCCTCACCAAGCGATATGGCTTCAAGCATGTTCTTCCCACGCTCATGGTCTGCTGGGGTCTTGTCTCAACCTTCCAAGCCTTCATGACTGGACGAGCTGCTTTTTACGTTACCCGTGCTCTGATCGGTACCTTTGAGGGTGGTTTCATCCCCGGTGTTATTCTCATGGCGACATATTTCTACACCTCGAAGGAGCTGTCTATTCGACTCGCCGCTTTCTGGTCAACTCTCAACATCGCCCGTGTCATCTCTGCTCTCCTTGCTGCTGGATTGATTGAGATGCGAGGCGTCAACGGCCACCCCGGTTGGTTTTGGCTTCTCCTCCTTGAAGGTCTTCTTACCGTGGTCATTGGTCTCGTCTCCATGGCCTATCTTCCTACTTCGCCTACCGGCACCAAGTCTCTCATCTGGCGAAAGTCTTGGTATACTGAGCGTGAGGAGGTCATCATGATCAACCGTATCCTTCGAGATGATCCTGCCAAGGGTCTCACGGCATTGAAGGAGCCTGCTACATGGCAGGATGTCAAGAACGCATGGTCAGACCCTTCGCTCTGGGGCCTTTACTTTATTGGTCTCGTTGCCTACATTCCTGCGGCGCCTGTTCAGGCTTATTTGACTCTTACACTTAAACGAGTTGGAAAGTTCAGTACCTTGGCTAGCAACCTGCTCACTGCACCCTCCGCTGCACTCCAGATCATCACTATGCTTGCGCTGGCATACAGTTCTGAGTACTTTAACGAGAGGACGTTCCACTGTCTGTTCGGAGAGATCTGGTCACTTCCTCTTCTTACAGCGCTTCTCACTCTTCCTGATGAGGGCCGAGAATGGGGGCGATTCTCTATCATTACTCTAATCTCTGGATATCCCTACTTCCATCCTCTGGTTTCTTCTTGGATTTCTGAGAACTCTTTTGATGTCAAGAAGCGAGCCATTGCTGCAGCTACATATAATGTCATCGTTCAAATGTGAGTTCCACCCTGGTCCGTTTAACAAACAAATACTAACAGAAAACAGGGGAAGCGTTACAAGCTCTCAGATCTACCGCAAATGGGATGCTCCTTACTACAAGAACGGTAACAAGGTGCTCATTTCGATCCTGTGCCTCTCTGTCGTGGCCTTCCTCGCCCAGCGATTCTGGCTCATCCACCTCAACAAGAAGAAGATCGAACAGTGGGAACAGATGACACCGGAGCAGAAGCTCGAATATCAGACGGACAAGGAACAGCGAGAGATTGATGGAAACAAGCGACTCGATTTCCGCTTTGCTTACTGAGAGGATAGCTAGGAGTGTTGTGGTGATGGGGTCGAGTTAGTATTCTTCAGCATATGTGTATGCTGTATATTAAGCAGTTGATTTCTTCAAGGCCTGAGAATGGTCACGTATGGGATATATTGCATACATTTATAGCAGGGTCTTCTGTGGTGCCACTGTTGTAAAACCCTTTTGTGACTGCGAGAACTGCCGTTCCAGAGCAACGCTTTTTAGATTTAGAGTTCAAGTCGTTACTGGTTTCAGTCGCTATTCCCGGTGTCTTCGGCCAAGAATCCCAAACGCGGATGAAAATGCGAGCGCAATGACATTTTTTTCGCGATTGCCTGGTATTTATTAGTCATCAAATTAAGCATGTTTGAGGCACATCGCCAACTTTGTCTTAAAGCTTAATTCCTATCCAATTCCTCTCATTTTATCTCAACTGCCTCATCTCACGCATTTCTCATTCTTAAAAACATCATTCTTGAATAAAAATAGTCAAAATGGGCGTCATCGGACTCACTGCCAGCGGCCTCGTCGGCGCTTTGCACAGCTACATCCTGGTTCTGGAGATGTTTCTTTGGACGAAGCCTCGTGGAAGAAAGGCTTTCAGACTCACACCCGAATTCGCTGAGCAGACCAAGACAATGGCTGCCAATCAGGGCCTCTACAATGGCTTCTTGTCCGCTGGACTGATTTGGTCGCTTCTTCACCCGAATCCTGAGTTCTCGAAGCAGCTTCAGATCTTCTTCAACGGCTGTGTCTTGGTTGCGGGTGCATATGGCGGTCTCACCGCCAACAAGAAGATTCTCTATATCCAAGCCGCTCCCGCGGCCCTTTCTCTTGGACTCGTTCTGTTGGATATGTAGAGCGTTATTGTGAAAGTATGGATTCGGTCCCTAGGCTTTGGTAATATTTGTCCGCTAACATTCTGATAGTATGATTTATATACAGTTTATTGAGCTTGAATCGTTTGTTTATCCAGCTGTTTTCTAGTGAATATGTGAGTGCCCAGCTTTGCAAAGTATGGCGTCATTATGTCTTGGACCAGCAAATGATTTGTTGCTGTTCAATACCAGTTTGTTGTTTTATTACTACCTTCAGTATCTAATGCGAAGCGAACTTCCACTGTGTTGTGACCATGGACGGCTCTCTTATGGGAACCCAGCGACTCTTTTAGCAAGCGCATGCCTAGCTTCACACCTGCAAGCTCACTATCGAACAAGCACAGGCGATTGTGTCTTTATGGTGCCTATTGGGGACTGGAACAACAAGTTTGATATGCTCATTTTATCCGAGGTTCAGCTGCAATTCCCCTTGCTCAAGCCGAATCACCAAACTATTTCTGGTGAGTGCAATTCATTGCTCGTCCAGTCGACTGTTTCAATACAGTGGCTGATCAGCATTCTCGTCCCAGCCTAGACATATGCCGCCGACAGCCATGGCGAGGTTCCGAAGCGAAAGTAAAGGTGTGGACTGTGGCCGCTCATCAGTGTGACCTTAAGGCGCCATCGCAAGAAGCCTCTTGACGGGATGCTCGGCGAAGCTTTGAAGGAGTCGGCTGATGTTGGCCGGGCATTGTGCTAACAAAGGCGAAGTCCTGATTTTGTCGACTTGCTCTCCATCTCCCGTGCTGGTAGCGACACCCGAATTGGTGTTATCGACACTTGCCGTCAGATAGGTTTACGTGGGCGATTTTGCGAGTTCCTCAATGTTTCACCCGCTGGGCTTCTCAGGGCCTCGCGAGAACTCTTCAAGGCTGTAGACTGATATTGAAGTTCACGGATGCGCTACCACAAACATGCATGGCGTGAGGTTTGGCTGGTGTGGTCCAGTTCCACAACGACACAGTATATGCTGTGGCGGTATGTTACTAAAAGTCATGCCTTGGATGGTCTGCTAATCATTCACAGAACACGTTCGTGCCATCGAGGTCGGTGCTCATGTATTCCACTTCGTGGAACGAGAAGTGACTGGGAGTTATACCTAGGATACTTACATGGACTCCAGACGACGGGGCAGTATTAATGGCTTCAATACTCACATGCTACCCAGAAGTTAACATCTGTCGTTGGTATTGGAGACTAATGAGAATGTGCCCTCTCAGAGATCTTGTATGTTGGATACTCTCCTTACAAACTGAATGATGTCTGACCCGAACTCTAGATTTCCTGCATGATGACCATCAGCAGAGACCGCATCCTTTCCAAATACAAGCTCCATCAACTCAAGACCATTGACAACTGTCGTCCAGGCTGTTGAGAGAAGCTGGTCTTGACTCTCTTGACTCTCTTGACCCTTCAACTGATAACCGAATCACTATATCAACGTTCCCTTCAACAACCCTTCACTGAATTCTGTATATTCCCCCCCAAGGCTGGTGTCATCATCAAGGCCCAAGGCCCCTGCCATATACGAGATTCTTGAGCCTGAGGACTTGGTCTATCAAAGTTTGTTGAGTCACTCTTTGGATTGATGTTGCAGAATTCAACCGTGCAAATAGTAAGTCATGATGTGACATTAATATGATATTCGAAGAGGCTAACCAATTCCGCAGTGTGCATCCAACTTCTCGACTCAATGGCTGGGATGGTATCAAGAGTCGTGTCGGTCAGCTCGATCTTGAAACGACCGAAGAATAGATCAAGGAAATGTGAGTGATGCTATCGCAGATTGGAGGCTCAGTGAACAGTCAGATACCCTTGTAGCAATGTCAACATGAAGCATACGGGCGGCCTCAGTACCATGACTCGATAAGGGAGATGTTCTGATCAGATCGTTTCACCTCCAGTCGACGACTCATAATAATGTACATGGAACGGCATAGGAGAGCAAGAAAGACTTGGAATTCGGGGTCTGTTGAACTAGCACGCGACTTATGGCTACAATAGGCAAAAAGCTACTGGGTCCGTTGTTTTCTGCCAATTCGACACCATGTTTACCAACCGAACCAACCCCGTAACATGATGTGACATTGGTCGGTGAAGTGCACCTCCATGGAAATGCTTCCACCTCTGAAATCAGGGTCTACCAGGAAGTTTTAGCTGAGTCCGTTTGTTAGAAGACTCCAAGAGCTTACTCTTCAGCTCTAGTCTCGATTTCCGAAAACAAGGAATTGGCCACTGGGGGTTGCCGACTCGGCAGGCATTTTGGCCGACAAATCTCTCCGCATGACCCCAAATATACAACGGCTAATTGTACCTTTCACAGTTTCGCGGGGTTGAGGCTACACTATATAATGTATCCAAGTTGTCGAATATCACATCCGTCAGAACCGAGATCACGAATTGACAACGGCTATGCGGCACCTGAAGATCGTCATAGTTATGCACCCATCGCCCGGCTTTAATGAAATACCCAGAAACTCAATTCTTAATCCCTCATTGTTTATTGTACATCTTCACGGAAATTGTGTTGTTGGTGACAGAATCATCCTGGCACGCAACCCTCTAAGGATTGCTTCTAGGCTCTAGCGATGCAGATCTGCCTTCCGGATCACACGGGAGCTTCTGGAAAATAACGCTCAAGAGTCACAGGAAGTCGGTCAATATTCATATTCGCGAACGCGAGGTTGCAGTGAACGGGTTGCAACGCTACAAAGATGAGAGCTATCCGTAAAAGGCAGTAAGCTATGCGCTCATAGAAAATGCGAAAAGCAATAAATAACAGCTCGTTGCGCCTGGAAAGAAAGTGTTGGAGTGTGTGTTTGCATCCTGTTCTCAAGACAAGTGTGTACACGTAGATCTCGTGACCCTAATTATCCTCTATACCATCATAATCTGCTTGAACGATATCATCAATGTCTAAACTATTCCGTCGTCGCAAGAACAACAACGATGACCTGGAATCCAACGCTGGCCGGCGAGCCTCCCGCGCTTCTAGGGGCGGAAGAGCCGCCAGCATTGTAGACGATAGTCTCGGCGAGTATCCTGCCCTGGATCACTACATCAGCAACTATCGCGAAGATCGTCGTCGCGCAGCTGATGATCGTGATGGGAAGGTCAAGAAGAAGCATTGGTGGCAGTTTGGCAGTGGTGTCGATGCTCAGGAGGAGCCTCCTGCTAAGAAGGGTACTCCTGATGCTTGGCTTGAGACGGATCTCACGACTGGTCTTGCGTCGGATGAAGTTGAGAGACGAAGGCAGGTAACAGGATGGAACGAATTGGTTTCTGAGAAGGAGAATATGTTTGCCAAGTTCCTTGGTTTCTTTACCGGTCCAATTCTTTATGGTAAGCCATCCTGCCGTCCCTCTGAGGGGCTCACTTACTGATCATCGCATTGCAGTTATGGAGGTCGCGGCCCTTCTCGCAGTCGGTCTTGGGGATTGGGTAGATTTTGGTGTCATCGTCGGTATTCTTATGCTCAACGCCTTCGTCGGGTTCTACCAAGAGAAGCAAGCCGCAGATGTCGTCGCTAGTCTCAAGGGTGATATCGCAATGCGATGCACAGTCATACGCGACAGCAACGAACAAGAAATTCTGGCACGAGAACTCGTTCCAGGAGACATCGTAAGTGGTTCCTTCTTGAAACCATCAGGCTTGCTGATTAATGTCCTAGCTCATTGTTCAAGAAGGCGGTACCGTCGCTGCAGATGCTCGTCTTATTTGCGACTATACACGTCCCGAAGACTTTGAATTGTACAAACGTCTCCGAGCCGAAGATAAACTCGACCGTAGCGACGAGGAAGATGAATTTGCTGATGGTGCAGACAAAGAACAAGATCATGACACATCGACAGAACATGATGCCCATCAACACAGTCATGAGCAGGAGCCACACGACTATCGAAGCCGTCCTCTCGCAGCCATTGATCAGTCTGCTATTACTGGCGAGTCGCTTGCTGTCGAGAAGTATCTTGGCGATATGGTCTACTATACTACTGGCTGCAAAAGAGGCAAGGCATTTGCCCTTGTTCAAACCACTGCTAAAGAGTCTTTCGTCGGCCGCACTGCAGACCTCGTGCAGGGAGCCAAGGATCAAGGCCACTTCAAGGCTATCATGAACAACATTGGAACCTCGCTTCTCGTTCTCGTTATGTTCTGGATCCTCATAGCCTGGATCGGAGGATTCTTCCACCACATTGGAATGACGGAGCCTGGATCGCAGAATCTTCTTCATTATGCTCTTGTTCTCCTCATCATTGGTAGGTCCCAAATAAACCCTAACTCCATTATCACAGAGTAAATTGGCTAACAGTCGATCCAAAGGTGTTCCCGTTGGTCTTCCAGTGGTGACAACCACGACCCTCGCCGTTGGAGCAGCCTATCTCGCCAAGCAAAAAGCCATTGTTCAAAAGCTTACCGCTATTGAATCTCTTGCTGGCGTCGACATTCTCTGTTCTGACAAGACTGGCACATTGACTGCAAACAAGCTATCGATTCGCGATCCTTGGCTGGCAGAAGGCCAGGATGTTAATTGGATGATGGCAGTCGCAGCTCTGGCTTCTAGTCACAATCTCAGAACATTAGACCCAATCGATAAAGTCACCATCCTTACTCTCAAGCGTTACCCCGAAGCGCGAGAGATTCTCAAGCAGGGATGGGTGACCGAGTCGTTCACGCCTTTCGACCCCGTCTCTAAACGCATCACTGCGGTTTGCCGCCTCGGGAATGACAAGTTCTGGTGTGTCAAGGGAGCCCCTAAAGCGGTACTGAAACTGGCTTCAGGCTCGGAGGATGAAAGCCGAATCTACAAAGAAAAAGCCCAGGATTTTGCCCGAAGAGGATTCCGTTCGCTTGGTGTCGCTTACAAAAAGAACGATGGTCCCTGGGTCATTTTGGGTTTGCTATCCATGTTTGATCCTCCTCGAGAGGACACAGCCCAGACAATCATCGAGGCAGGTCATCTTGGAGTCCCTGTCAAGATGTTGACGGGAGATGCCATAGCCATTGCAAAGGAAACCTGCAAAATGCTGTCCCTCGGAACAAAAGTATACAACTCTGAGAGACTCATCCATGGTGGTCTATCTGGAAGTGTACAGCACGACTTCGTCGAGCGAGCAGATGGCTTTGCGGAAGTGTTCCCAGAGCATAAGTACACGGTCGTCGAAATGCTCCAGCAAAGAGGCCATCTCACGGCAATGACTGGTGATGGTGTTAACGATGCTCCTTCCCTGAAGAAAGCGGATTGTGGTATTGCTGTTGAGGGTGCTTCAGAAGCTGCCCAAGCTGCAGCAGATATCGTTTTCCTCGCTCCCGGCCTAAGCACCATCGTTTTGGCTATCAAAACCGCTCGGCAAATCTTCCAAAGAATGAAAGCGTATATTCAATACCGTATTGCGCTCTGTCTCCACCTGGAAATCTATTTGACGCTTTCCATGGTCATCATCAACGAAACCATTCGCGTCGACCTGATAGTATTTCTTGCACTGTTTGCGGATTTAGCAACGGTTGCAGTTGCTTACGATAATGCTCATTGGGAAC